AGATAAAACTTGAATAAGTCATAGACTTAATTTAACCCACAGCAGCGTTCAACGGTGGTCTGGAGCCTTCCACGGAGATTTCTTAATTACGAGCAAGACCCTCTAAGACAAGAGAACGAGGATAGGAAGAGATAGGAAGAGAAAGTATACCGAAAGACGAAAGCGTAAAGCAAGGGAGAGAAAGAGACGGAAATTCTGCTGATGGCCGTAGGGAAAAGGGTTCTCACGGCAACGAGATTTAAGAATCCTTCCTAAGGAAAAAGAATCGCCCCCATCGCGAAGACAGATGATAAAGCATTTCTTTAGCGATACTTTGTCATTTTTATCATAATTATTTACGAGATAATTACTCCGCAACCGCACCCTGTGCCGGCTACACTTTCTTGCGTTTTAAAAACGAGAAAAATGCTTTATTAAGACACTTCGGAGATAATACCTTTCACAAGGTCCGGTAACAGATCTGCCCTCTTTCGTTCTATGCTTTTATTGCATACAGCAAGAGACAAAAGCGAAGTATTTAAAACAGGAGAAAGAGATAGGAACATATTAAAAAAATAAATATATTTATCATAATCCTCTTTGTAGACGGACGGTTCCGTTTGAAACTATACTCTTTTTTATTTTGTAAACTATTTGCTCGATTTTTATGAAACTTGGCCTATGGGATAATTTGATAAAGCTTTATTCAAATTCAGATCAAAAATAAAAAATTCAAAATAGTGGATCCAATATGGACAGACACACAATTTAAAAAACAATTTAATTATTATTAAACTCGGTTTTAGAGAATTTTTTATTGCAAAGTGTCATCAAGTTTCAATTTGAAGCTTATCAGTGCTATACGCAAAATAGTTAGAATTGATTTTCAAACTAATTTTAGATTCTAAACACTGAGAAAAAGAATTTTGTTAATTTAACAAGCCAGTACCTTTAACCGGTGATTGATAAATATGTGACAATGTTGTTGTTGTGATTGTTGCTAGTCTGCTATACCAATTATTAGTATACAGAAGCAAACTATATAGAATCTAATCTATCTTTTGGATAAACTTTAGGCTCGTTTACATAGAATTCGTAAATGATCGTGAAGTCTTAAGTCGTAGGAAACCGACCAAGTACAATCTAATATAGAAAGAATACTTGATTAGAATTGGTCAATTTCTTATGATTTAAGACCTTGCAATTG